TTATTATTTTTATCTAAATTACTTCGAGTCCGTTTAGTTTGTTGACTCAGAATTAAAATATGACTTTATATGAGAATTTTTTATTGTAGTAAAAAAGTTATATGTAACTGCTTCTGAGAGATTTTTACTGTAGTAAAATTCATATTCTAAACTCGAATCGGTGAAATAAACGGAGTCATCGCCTTCTTTAGTGAAGTAAATTCACGATCTTCTCAAAAGTTTTGCCAATACAAATAATTATGATAAATTGACACAAATAATTATGATAAATAAATTCATTCCTCCATCCATAGTAGGGAAAAGACTTTTAGTCTTGGTTCAAATATTGCAAATGGCATATTTGAAAAGAGAGGCATTCATTACAATATCCTAGCTAATTTATCGTGTAATTAACAGTAGTTTCCCCTAATTCAACTAATGAATTAAAGAGCTATATACAAGTAGTCCATCATTATAGTTAATTATTTACCTTATATATTAGTCCCATATTAAGTGCAATCTATTTTCATATAACTATTACTATATTTGGTCAAACTTTGGGTACGGTCATTATGATTGGTAATCAAAATCAATAACCAAAGGCTAAATGGAGAGGGGGTATGGATGAAAGAATTTGAGTAAAATGGGGTCCAAAAATAGATGGTTGTGAAAATGAAAGGGTGAAGCAGATTTCACTTCAACATATAATTATCTCAATTAGAATTAAAACGAAAAAGTTATAGCATTTTTAAGAATAGAAAAAATACTGTTCATTAATTTGAGTTTGAGTTTCTGAACTCGAGTTGAAGGGAAAACTTGAACTCAAGTTTTAGTCCTAAACTCGAGTTTGAACTCAAGTTTAAACTTAAAAGAACATAAACTCGAATAAAGTTGTAACTCAAGTTACATTTTTTGAGTTTTTCACTCAAAAGAACAAGCCGTAAATGGATCTTAATTAAACAACTCAAACTTGATTCAATATTATACCAATCAGTAATCAATCTCGTCCCCTCGGTACAAGCCACTATCTCAATAAATAAGCTCTTGCAACAACTATTTTGTTATCCATACAAAAATATAACGTTGCTTAGAAATCTTGTTTTCGTTAGGAGTATCAATTAATGTACTTTGAACATATTTCTCATTGATTGGAAAAAAAAAAAATGGAGTTCCTAATAAGCTCATGATTGAAGACTTTTGACATCAACTTAAGCCGGAGACTTTCACCAAATCCAGAATATGACGGCTTATTTGAATCAAAACAAACTAATACACGTTTTAAAAAATGAGAAAGAGAGAGAGAGAGAGAGAGATTGCAAGCAAAAATAAATTAACGATTTAGCATCTTAAGAGATTATCTGCAAAAATGGGAAAACAAATCAAAACTGGAGTCCGGAGATCCCATTTAAATACTACGTAAAAACTATATACTATGATCATTTGATTGTTGTTATTTAATATTGTACTGATCAATGACACACTTGGTTCGTTATGTTAAAATTGCTAAGTAATTATACGATGATAAACAGGGTTGGTATTTTTCCCAAAACGTTAGTACCTTTGCATTTTGCAATATATATCGGACTTAGCTACGATGTTCACATGAACAGCACAACATGATACTCATTTTACATAACACTAATGTTGCGCAAGTAGAACTAATGGTAATGGACAAGTTTTTTTTCTTTTTTTGGTTTTACTCATTTTCAACATCAATGTTATATTGAAAAAATTAAATGTCATGATACGTAACATATAGAAGTGAGAAATGTAGGGCCTGTTTGTTTATGTTTTCATTTTCATTTTTCACGGTTTTCAAAACAAAAAAATGAAAACGGGTGTTAAAAAGGTGTTTGGTGCAAATTTTTTTAAAAACCAAAACCAAAAACGTTTTTGTTTTTTTGTGAAAATCAGAAAACGAAAAAAAGGTGTTTTCATTTTCTCGTTTTCGTTTTCTGTTTTCTGAAAACGGATTTCACTT